CCTAAAAACCCCGTGAGGCACAATGTACCACACTGAATTATTGAAAACTAACATGCCGAGGTTACAAGAAGAGAGGAGCTGAAGAATGTGTTGAATGTTCACATGGGAAAGTTCCGTTCGAGAAAATCTGTTGCTCTAGACAAAACATGACTCCAGTTGTGCCGAAAGAAATTTTCACAACAGAAGCACAGCCGCAATTATGTCCAAATGAAGGACGGAGCCACTCCCCGTCCATTTCCGAGATATGGAGTGAACATAGCGTTTTAAACGGCCCCTTTGACCTACCATCTTTAACTTACTAGTTATGAACATCAAAGATATTTTTATGTCCATCCATCCAGATAGGTTGTAAGCGGTATTCCAAGAGATCTAAAAACAGAGGAACTTGAAAATATTGCTTGCACCCAATGTAAGTGGATTCTCACGATACATGGGATATGCTACAAATAATTTATTCTACAAGTATTTTAAAGTTGAGTACAAATTGTTATTAATAGATACTTCGGACAACAAGATTACGAATGTTCCCTCACATCTACACATCAGACACCACTCCTACTCAAAGAAGCGTGCGACCGATTGGTCTGCACTGCCGAGCACTCCATGGGAAACACATGAAACCAACCAGAGCGCAAACCTTTTCCCAACTATTCGCTTGTATTCGATTTTTGTGGCGGAGGTTGTGCACTATGTGGCAAGTGGCATGCCTACCACGCGCAGGTCCGGGGATCAAATCCCGGACCAGCTCCTACCGGGACGAACCAAGCCCTTCTATCCTCCGGGGACGGTAAATGGTACCAGATTCGTCTGGGAGGATAGAACACTGACTTGTACATCGGCTGGCCGCCACAAGTCACCGTATAAGCCGCACCGCAATCAGTGGGCCACTACCATTTTGAAGGAAAGTAAAATGCTTGCCGCATCCCAAGAGAGGAATGACTAACGGCGAATATTCCATCTCTTCTTATTACAACACGTCCTCCTGACACCACTAATGGATAAAGAATGAAGTCTTTGCCGTTAATCAACCTTTTTTTTGGGAACGCGCCATGCACTCGAAGCACGCGCCATGCACTTTCAAAATCATAGCCGCTCATTCAATGCAATGTGGCCTTCAGAATGACATGCAGGGACCAGCCGATGTACAAGTCAGTGTTCTCATTCTCCCGGACAAATCTGGCATCAATTTGCCGTCTTCGAAGGATAAAAGGCTTAGTTGGTCTGAGCGAGAGGTGATGAGAGATTTGACATCCGGACCTCCGTGTTGTAATCGTCCCACTTGCCACTGCACCACCTCTGCCTTCCCTGCCATTACATACCATGGGTTGGAATTACCCTGCATACTGTGAGGCTAAGAAATTTATCCTTTTGGGGAATCATGTGTCCCAAATAGACTGAGCCATTGGAACGAAGCAATGGCGCTGCGAGGCTTCAGGGGCGGGGGGGGGGGGAGATTGCACATATGGTGGTTGCCTTTGCTAGTTCCTGTTGAATTACATGTCCCATCTTGGCGAAACCTGTAGAATCTTGTCAAGTGTAGACGAAGCTCATGGCATCGCACTGGCATTGCTTTTACAGGAGTTCACAGGCCTCCACAGCAGGAGTGATCGCTAGGAACTAGCAATATGCTCCCACCAAAGCGAACCGCGTCAATGCTCGCTTGAATACATAGTTATTATTTCTGAATGCAAATCATGCAAACATGAAACAAACACGACAATCTCGGCGGATCCTCTGCGATTACTTGTGTAAACAAACAAGAGATAATCAGTATAAGCATCACTACTGTCACTAGCCCGACAGCAAATCCAATGAACGTGATGATGTAAGCAACTCAGGTAACTTAGTAGTGTACAGCACAAAAAGCAAGAGTTCATCCCAAAAGAAATCGAAGTTGCAGATGATGTTTGGTGTCACTGCGTGTTGCGCAACACGAGACCCCGAGACACCACAATGTTCGTGCTACTCGTAGAGTTGCCGACAGGTGAGGGTATCGTAGGAGTGCGTTCATACAGGGGGGGGGGGGCAAAAAAAGGTCACTTTTCTTCTTCGAGGCGCTATAAGTTACACTTTATTAAATTCTGATCGGACATTTCTACCACCATATTCAACAGCATATTATTAAGTCATCCCATTCAAAAGTGCCGAGACATATAGAGGAATGGCAGAAAAGCAAAGGGGATAGGGCAGCGGGCTACTATACCATTTGGAGGCTAGTACCTTTAGCTGTGTATCTGTGAAATTTGGCGAACCTACCCACAGAAGTTCTCGAGAAATTGAAAAGAAGCCCGAGTGGTGAAAATCAGC